TATTATTATTATTATTATTATTATTATTATTATCACTGTTTTTATATAATCACTACTGTTGTGCCCATTACTGTTATCATTACTACCAATGGTACTGCATAAGAAAACAAAGGTTATCGTGGTTGGAGATGCGGCGGTGCCTGTGGAAGAGGGAGACTTTTCAGTAGCCTGTTCCTGAATTTTAGCTTCGTCATAATGGTTATTGAGGAAATTTCCGTTGGCAGGCATCACGCAGGAGCAGAAAAAAGGACGTTTTTTGCTTTCGTTCTTTGTCCTAGCTGTTTTGCTAAAGTATAGTTGGAAAACAGTATATAATTTGTAACAGTTCCTGCCATTTAAATCGATCTGCGTACTTCATCGTTTTTCCGTTGGTTTTTCCCACCCTACTGCTTCTGTAGACAGTTCGCTTCTAAAGAGACGATAGACAATTGTAGCTGCCTTTTGGCCATTTATTTTTTTTTTCACTCTGTACATACTGCATTGGGGTTTGAAACAGTTTAATAGCCCTAAACATAGGCAGTTCGTTTGGATGGATTAGGTTTTAGACTGTTGCAAGTGTTGTCATCGTCATATATTTTTCTCAAAATGGCTTTTTTGCTGTTATTTTATCGCTTGGTTTATGAAGTGATAAGCGCTGGAATTGGCGTAATGGGGAAAAAAGCTTTATCACTGTCATATAGTCGTCTGCAGTCACACCATTTTTGATTTGACAAGTACTTCGTTGTATAGGCTTTGACAGAAGCCTAATGCATAAGTTTCGGAAGTCTTTCATTTTCTTGTAATTCCTTCTTTTCCTCCTCCTCGTTGTCATCTTCGCTTATTAATTTCGTTTCTCCACATTTTAAATTTTACCGCACAATTCATTTTTCATTATTTTTTAGATTCAAATGATGGGAAGCAATGCTGTTTCTGGCGACAGCAGCAGGAATATCCCTTTATAAATACGAGTATAATCTAGAAAAATTTTTTTGGTTGCCATATGTTTGGTTTGCCAAAATTAGTGCTTGGCTTTACTTTCTTTAAACAAGCAAACAACAAAGCTAGCTGCTTTATTTGTTTGTATTTATAATTTCTTCTGTCACTTTTTGGCTGAAAAATTTTCAAGCTGTTTACCACGATCAGGCTTACAGAACTAAAAACTGGAAAAGCATTGTTTTATGAGCCACCTGAAGTCATCTACTCATTTGATGCTGAAAGTTATGGTACTTTCTTTGCGTATCATTGCAAGCATCGCCCAAAAAATTTTTTTCATTCACAAGAGAAGGTAACTTTTGATTTAGTGTCTAAAAAAACAGACTTGATATTAAGGAAAGGCAACTTTTTATTTCATTCATCAAGCTATAACCAGTACCCTCTCAACCACCAGCTTATCTCTGAAGGTTGAAAATTTAGCAAGGTGACCATATTTAGTTTCCGTAACAGATAAAATTTCAACTTCTGTGAACTTTCTGTATCTTGAAAAGCCTTATTTTCCAATGGACTTTTTCATATGCCTTTTTTAAAAATTAGAAAGGATGCACTACTGTTGGAACCATTGAACTTCAGTGTTAAATTGAACAGTCATTTGCTTCCGATTAGAAACTTAAAATCGCAGAAGTTTTACTGAAAAAGCAAAAAGAGCCATTCTCCTTTTACTTGGAATGGGATTCATACAGTAGTGCCACCTTAACCTATCGTTATCTTTCGCTGTTGAAGCATCTTTCGAAACCAACGCAGCGTTCTTTTTTACTATCGTTCTTTGTATTCTGCTGGTTCCAGGTGCGAACCACAGCCGGAGTAACAGTGGATCTCGTTTGATGGGCGAATGACGCATTGACGAGGTTCGGACTGCTTTCGGTCGTAAGTTCTTGAAGGCCAAGATGACCGTTTAGCGACTAGTCACTATGTACCCCCTCCAATACCTATATGCTTCGCTTGTTGTTTATTTATTGGAAATACTTTTTTCATAATAATGTAATTTAGTCAGAGGCAGAGAATCAAGGATAAATTTCTTTGAAGGAAATTTTGAAAGGCGGAATTTTTTCTGTTTTTTCTATCGTTTTTTCTTTTCGGCCGGTTTGCAAATGCTGCAAATGCTGAAAACGGATGCTTGAAACTGAAATGAATGAAGGTGTTAGAGACAATAGGGAGTAGAAGCTAAAAACAAAAGAATGGGAACTGAACCAGAATTTGTGGCGTAGAAGGAGGAAGATTTTTGTCGGCGATGAAACCAGACTCGGGTGGTTACGATGGCGCAGAAACGTCGTTAATATTGCTGGCAGAAGTTATTTCTGACGAGCATCTCTTTGTCTATAACGAGTTACTGCAGCAACTATTATCTACTCCCAGAAGATTCTTCTTTTTACTTGTTTGTCTAATCAGTATAAGGTGATTTGTACTAATGACCGTATATCCGGAGAGACTTTGCTGCCGGCTAATCAAAAAGGATCGTTAAAAGAAACATATATTTGTTTCTGAAAAAATTAGCCACACGTGGCTTACAGCATTATTAGCCCTAATAGAACTCTGTTTTTTCTCTTTGTTTTTTAGACTGGTCTTGATTTTTATTGAAAATCCTCCAAACAGCAGCAGCATATATACACACACGCAAATACACAACGTTTAGCCCAAAGTTGGTATTGTTCTCGCTGCCTGAGCAAGTGCAAACAGACAAAACAATCAAATTCTTTTCTGTTTTCCGATTCCCGTTGCTGCCACTGCTACTGCTGTTGAGTGTTGTTGATGGCAGCGCTTTAAATTTGCTGATGATGATGATGATGATGATGATGATGATGATGGTAATGGCTCTACATATCGACCTGTCGTTGGGGTTAAGGGGTGTACGAAGAACGAATTAAGTGATTACTGTTGAAAAATAAACCTGATTCTGAACTGCTTACCCTCTTGTTCTTCATCTTCTCTACCTCTTCGTTTTTTTTTCTCCCCCCCCCCCTCTTCGCCGTTGTGTCACTGTAATCTCTGGATAATCTCTGGATTTCAATAAAGAAAAAAATGTATTGCTGTTCTCCTTATTACTTCAGTGTATACTTTGAGAAGTTAAAAGAGAATTTTTTTTTTTAAAAAACTGCAATATGTTTTGGATTTGCTGCTTTGTATTCGCTGTTTGTTTATTCTCATTTAGGTCGAAAAGGAAAAAATTAATGAACATCTATTATATCTGGTACAAAAGAAAAGGTAAAAAATAAGTAAAAAAAAAGTCCTAATCCGTTTGTGTGATTTTATTTTACTTTTTTTCTATTTCTTTTTTTTTTTCAAGGATAAATTTTTGTTGCTATTTTTAGCATTCGCTTTCTTTTTATCCACTTTTTTTTTTTTTTTCACTTCTCTTTCGCTTTGGTCGACTGGTTGATCGGTTAGTCATTTAGTTGATTAATTAGTTGAGTAATCAGTAGTTACCGTCTTAAAAGTATTTTTTTCTTCAGTTTTTTTCCAACATTCTGTTAGCTATGAACCTTTTTGCTTCTATGCACTATTTAGTTCAGTACAAATGATTTGAAAAATCAGACCTATTCATATTACTTGTTGTCATTACAGCTTTTTCTCATCTTTTTTTGTACTGTTGAACAAAAAAAAAAATAAGAATAAAAATAAAATTTGAAAAGTGGATGAAAAATTATTTATCAGTTTGAAGTTTTACAGCAAAACACTTACGGATCTTTTTTCAACAAAAAAAGGAAAAATTTTTTCCCCAAACTGTTTGTTTAGGATTGAATGACAGAACTGACGACAGTGATGGTGATGATGACGTCGCCCGTATAATCCTTCTAAATCAATTTAGTCACCTCTATTTTTTGAAACGTTTTAAATGATATCTTAATATCTGATGTCTTTTTTTTTCGCTCAAACGAATTTGCTCTCAAATAAATTGAATTTTTCTGTTCTTCTTTTTTTTTTTTTCTTCTGCTTTTGCTTTTTGATGACTGCTATTTTTTGAATTAAAACTTACATGACAATGACAGTTAACAATGACGTTGACAACGTTTAATGATGGCGATGTAAATTTGCAAATTTTGGCTTTTTTAAAATTGTTCCATTTGAAAACACTGCAACAACGATGACGATGACGTTGATGCTGATGCTGATGCTGATGCTGATGCTGATGCTGATGCTGATCGATGAAGATAGACGACAACTGATTTTATGTCGTATTGGTTATAAAATATATACATTTTTTGTGCATAATCGTCGTCAAGTGCAGAGTATCCGATAAGGTTTGAAGGGCCAGCGGATAAATAATAATAGTTGAAGAAATTTATTCAGCAACAGCAGCGATGACAACAGTAATACATCGATCATAAAGATATTGTTTTTTTTTTCAGTTTTCATTTTTCTGATACATATTTTTTTATGGTCTCATCATCTGCAGTTTTTTTGCTATGTATCGTTGGTATCAGCGTGCAGCAACATTGCCATCATCAACAGTAACGGTAATAAAAAACAACACCTGTATAAGTGAAGCGATGGTGGAGAAAAAGTTTTACAGAAAAAAAAAAAAAAAAGAAAGAAAATATTAAATTTAAAGAGTTTAAAAACTAAAAATTCTTAAAGCAAAAGTAATTAAAGTTGTTTTTGCTTTAAAATATTTACACACAGAAACGTAAGAAAAAAAAATTTTTGCTTTAGAGTATATTAGTGTAAAGTGTATATC